TCACCAAAGCAGGACCTGAGCACTACTGGCATACTGCCTCCAACAGTTGTTGCCATCTTTTGTCTGCAGCTTATTCAGTGCTAATAATATCAAACTTTTAGTACGCTTCTCCACAGTGCTGTGTGGCTTCCCCAGACAGAAGCAGAAAAACTTGAATATTTGCAGTATCCCTAGCGCACAACGCATGCAATTATGCCACCTCATATTATCCCAGGCAGCTTGTTGTTGTATCACTGAAGTTTTCTGTTCCTGGAAAAATCTGTGAAGTTTTTTTAAAAAAGAAAAGAATAAAGTTCTAGCCATCCCTCATGGACATTCCTTTGCTTTTATTAAGAAAAGATCCATGTACCCTGCCAGAAAATGTCCCGTAGCAAAGAATAAATGGCTTACAGATTGGTGATTGGTGACAGTGATCACACACAAGTTCCTCTAGATGCTTTGTTGTACATAATAAGCACAGCAAAATAATACATCTCCCTCCCCCGTAGGAGTTTTAACGCTGTTGTCAAGTATTAAAGCGTTTGGATTCCTTTTCAACATTCATCCATTCTTCTTCTGTCCCTCAGGGATGGAACTTTTATGTTTCACAGTCTAAAGCAAATTGAAATTGCTCTTGGCGGTGCTAACAGGGCACACAGCTTTGCCTTGAAGCTGAGGAAGGTTTCCTCCCGTCGTGTGCGCTGCCTTTGGGGTCACCTCAGAGGAGATGGCTAAAGCAAGGGGCGGGGGAGAGGTTTTTTTGTTTGGCAGAATCTGTGCACCAGATTCAGCTAAGTTCCTGAGCAAAATTGGGCCTATTCAGAGGGACTGGGGCATCAATCAAATCAGGAGGAGACAGCTGTGGATTTCTGTGGGTATGGTGATCCAGTCCTGTGAAAGGGCATGGCTTTATGTAGGAAGGAGAGGCAGGCATTGGAGAGGATAATATGTGTAAAGACCAAAACCTATCTCAGACAAGTGCATTGCATGGGCAGTTGCCCTGGGTGCAAAATTCTTAGGGTCAGTTTTTCACAGGGGCAGTTGTCCTGGGCAAACAACAACAACATTAATTTATTTATACCCCACCCATCCAGGTGGGTTTCCCCAGCCACTCTACGTGGCTCCCAACAGATGCAAAACAGAATAAACTATCAAACATTAAAAACTTCCCTAAACAGGGCTGCCTTCAGATGTCTTCTAAAAGTCAGATAGTTGTTTATTTCCTTGACATCTGGTGGGAGGGTGTTCCACAGGGTGGGTGCCACCACCAAGAAGGCCCTTTGCCTGCTTCCCTGTAACCTCACTTCTTGTAGTGAGGGAACCGCCAGAAGGCCCTCAGAGGTGGACCTCAGTGTCCAGGCTGAACAATTGGGGTGGAGAAGCTCCTTCAGATATACTGGACCAAGGCCGTTTAGGGCTTTAAAGGTCAGCACCAACACTTTGAATTGTGCTCGGAAACGTACTGGGAGCCAATGTAGGTCTTTCAAGACCGGTGTTATATGGTCTCGGCGGCCGCTCCCAGTAACCAGTCTGGCTGCCGCGTTCTGGATTAGTTGTAGTTTCTGGATTACCTTCAAAGGTAGCCCCATGTAGAGCGCATTGCAGTAGTCCAAGTGGGAGATGACTAAGGCATGCACCTCTCTGGAGAGACAGTCTGAGGGTGCAAAATTTCAAAAGAAAAAGAAGAAAAGTAGTAATAATAAATGAAAAATAGTGCACCCTCCCCTTCATACCAAAAATCTCTCAGTGTTCACATGGGCAGACTAAAGAGCAGATTTGGGCAATGGCCAGTTGCTAGGGCACCCTCTGTATGGGCTTTAGAAAGATACCTGCTCCCAACCAATCCCCTGTCCTGCTCTCTGTTGTGCTTGATATTCACAGGGAGCCACGACTGCTACTTGGGTAAGTTGCTGAGCGATTGCTCCTTCTTCCAGCCTATTGGCAGTTGGTGCCAAGGATACTTGCCTTGCCCCCTGCACTGGCAACCCACGCTACACCACTGTCTATCTGACCCCCAGCTGTATCTTCTCAGATGTCTTCCCAGATGTTGCCTGACTCTCTTTCCTGCCTGATGCCTTGTCTCTTCTCTGAAGAAGCACCCCACAGGACCAATACCTACACGCAACAGCTGTTGAGTGAAGCCATCGATCCTGCAGGGGGCAAGCTGCTCTTTTGCCAGAGACTTCCCTGAAGGAAAGCCACTTATGGAGCAGTACCCAACAGGATGGATGCCTCTGCTGAGAAGTTGTTTCACAGAAGCATCGATCCTGTGGGATGCAGGGTGCTCCTTCACAGTTATCTTGCATGGAACCCATTTGCGAAGGTGCACCCTGCAGAATTGACCCCATTGCTGTCAATCATGGGTAGGGAGGAGACGCAACATCTCCATCTACCTTCCCCACCCCCCTCCTAGCTGTATATTTATGCGAATCAGTTCGGAACCTGTATGACTTTTCAGGTGGATAGTTTGAAAGCAGGGCGAACTGGATTCGTCTACCTGGATATTGGAAAATGCAACACATTTGGAACATTGTGCTCATGGGGCAGGCCAGGGAATAAAACAAGAAGATAAAGAGGAAACATAGTTAGGAGGGGGATGAAGAGGAAAGGGGATGAAATGAGGGGAAATGAGGAAACTTCCTAGAATGGACAAGAGATATTCTAATAGCAGGAAAGGGTATAAGAAAAAGATGCATGTGGCTGCTAGAGCTACAGAACATCAAAGGCAGAAGATGCTTTTTCTCCCAAAAGGGTGAACTTTGAAGAAGGATGTTACCACCAATGGTAAGTGTACTCATAAGAGATATCTGTGGTCAGAACAATGAGATCAGAGGAGTCACCTTAAAGCTTTCAGGCACACAAGTCAGATGTAAATAAATAAATAAATAAAATTTAAAAACCCCAAAAAGCTATGATAATTGCTCCATTACAATAATACAGTTGCTGCGTTTGATCAGTTAGGTTGCCTCGTTACTATAGAAACCATTACTACTTGGAGCATGTAAATCAGATCAACTTATGAAAAGGGAGTTCAATATTAATTTCCCCTTTTTTTCTTAGCTCAGAATATTATTCAAAGGAAAGACATAAATATTTATAACTTCTTAGCCTAATCAGCAATGCATAAGGAACTAATTATTCTATTAGCGACAATATCCAGGTACTATGCATAAAGGGAATGGCTTTCTCTCTCCCCTCCCCCTCCTTTCGAGTGACTTTCCCCCTTTTATGAGAATGTCAGATGCTAAGTATGTTTATAGCCAGAGATGACAGTTTGTCGTGCCAAGAGTCACAAATTGTGGCTTCTGTTGTGGGAGCCAGCAGTAGTCTGATGCTACTCAAAAAGAGCATTGTTAGATACCAGCACATCCCCCCCCCCCCGCCCAAGGGAGAAAATTATGGTGCCATCCTAAACATGTCTCCTTAGAAATTAGCCCCATTGAATTCAGTGAGGCTTACTCCCAAGTAAGTGGTCCAGGATTGCAACCTTGGATGCTTTATAGTGAAATGAGCTTTCAGAGGCAAAGGGTTAGCCAACAAAGTACCTTCCAGATGTTATAGAATCATAGAATCGTAGAGTTGGAAGAGACCCTGAGAATCATCTACACCAGTGTGGTGTAGTGGTTAGGAGCGGTAGATTCGTAATCTGGTGAACCGGGTTCGTGGCCCCGCTCCTCCACATGCAGCTGCTGGGTAACCTTGGACTAGTCACACTTCTCTGAAGTCTCTCAGCCCCACTCACCTCACAGAGTGTTTGTTGTGGGGGAGGAAGGGAAAGGAGAATGTTAGCCACTTTGAGACTCCTTTGGGTAGTGATAAAGCGGGATATCAAATCCAAACTCTTCTTCTAACCCCCAGCAATGCAGGAATAGGCAGCTGTCCCATACAGGGATCAAACTTGCAACCTTGGTGTTATCAGTACCAGGGCCGTATTAAGGATATCTGGCGCCCCCCCCTCCCATTTTCCAGAGTTGTTGACCTTTTTTAAGGGGGGGATCCAAAAGTTGTTGACCTGTTTTAGGAAAGGTTCCCCCAGAGTTGTTGACCATTTTTTAGGGAGCTGAGACCCGGTTACACATTATCTCTGCTTGGGAAAAGAAAAAGAAAACAGGAAGCATAAACAAACTTTTTTTAGTTGCTCATTTATAAACCATGTACCTATATACACACTTATATAGTCTCAGATGCATGTGGCCTAGCCAAAATCTGACAAGTTACTCCTGGTCTTAAATTGTCCAAGCAAAAAGGACAACCTGTCACCAAAATGAGGACAAAAATTGCTGAACTTAGATATACCTCAGTCAATAAAGCACAAGACTCTTAATCTCAGGGTTGTGGTTTCAAGCCCCATGTTGGGCAAAAGATTCCTGCATTACAGCAGGTTGGACTAGATGACCCTGGTGGTTCCCTTCCAATTCCGTGAATGGTTCTGTTATTCTGTTGTATCTGAAAGGCTGTTTACAGGGAAGATGGAACTAACTTGTTTTGTGAGAGATGCTTGTGCTGTGATTCCTGCACTGGAGGGGGTTGGTCTAGAGGACCCTTCCAACCGTACAGTTCTGTGATACTATGATTAAAATACTCCAAGAAATAAATAAACGGGCTTCTCTGTGGTAGTCACTGGAAAGGGCTCCACGGGCGGCCATCCCACAGAAAGTTTGGTATGTGCCCTATAGCCCAAGCCCCATTCACAGGCGAGACCCGGTGAGCCAAAGGAGCGCTCTGCAGTGGCAACGGGGCTGCCCAGGTGAGCTTGAGTACGTGACTGAACGCCTGAGGGATCTAGGCAGGTTGAATCGTGTGTAGGCTGGCCACCTCAACGCCTCACTTGCTCAGCCTCGGACTCTGGGCAGGAGCCCAAGGCGGCGGAGGGCGGCGGACGCAAGGCCGGGCTGTGCGCCTAGTGGGAAGCGCGCAGCCTCTAGGCAGGTTGAGGCGCGCAGGCCGGCCGCGTCTCAACGCCTCCCGCTCAGCTGTCGAGCAGCAGGAGCGCGACTCCCGAGGTGGCGGGGCGCCAGGCGATGGAGGCTGCAAGTCCGTGCGCGCGCAGGCTGGCCGCGCCTCAACGCCTCCTCCTTGGTGCTCCTAAGCAGCAGCCGGAGCCCGAGTCCCGAGGCGGCGGCGGAGGCTGCAAGGCTGGGCGCACAAAAAAACTAAGCATCGCTGCGCAAGCCGAGGCGACTGTTGAAGCCGGCCAATGGAACCTCTTGAGTAGCGCGCTGCTGGACTGGCCCTACACCAATGGCGCGCAGCCGGGCAGCCGCATCTGCGCCTGCACCGCTGAATAAGCAGAGAGGGAGCTGTCCGCAAAAGAGGTGTCCGCCTGCTGCTAGGCTCTCTCGGCTCTTTCCGGACGACTCCGCTCAACTCCGGACTCTCCGCGGCGCCCTCGACAGCGGGGAGCGCCCTGATTCAGCGCGCCAGCTGCACCACTGGTTAGAGACGGGTCTGATCAGTACCATGTGCTAACCAACAGAGATATCCAGGCTCAGACTATAACTCCCACCAACCCCAAACAGGGCCTGATCAGGGCCCCCAAACTACTTTTCCCCCTGTTCCCCACTGGCTCCCAGGTAAAATGGGATAGGATTGCAGAGTGAGGGTGCAATCTTGTGCTCACTTGCCTTGGTTTAAATCTCATTGAGCTCAATGGGATTTCATTCTGATCATTCACAAATGTAGGATTGCAATGTTTGTGAGTTCATGGCAGAGACGTCAGATTGTCAAGCTAGGAACTTTCCAGCTTATGTTCTGAGACACGATACTATATTAGAATTAAGATTAAAACTGCAAAGCCCCTTTGTACACCAACAAGCATAAATGATTGGATTTCCCTTTCCCTTTCAGACAAACATGTGAACATTGTACTACCTCCTCCAGATATGCTTTGAAAACTTCAGTACACCATTTCAGTAAATGCCAGCATTTCAATCAGGGGAGAACACACACACACACACACACCAAAATATAATTTACAACAGGCAAGGCAAGGATGCTGAGCCAACCAATTTGAAATAAAAAATAATTTCCACATCAAAGACTTTTCTTAATACAAAAGCCTCTTTAGACAGCCGAGCCTGCTGATGCTTGTTTGTTTAAAGTGCATTGTGCGGCTCAGATTTTGAAAGACCTTGTTTGTGAGCGTGTAGTCGCCATTGATGTGCTTCTTGAATATTGTGCACTTGATAAGAGACTTAATTAATATCATTCCAAATTATGATCTGTTGACCGCTTCTGGAACAATGTGTGTGTGTTTAAAAATATAATTCTTCTGCTGTGAACCATCAAAGAAATAGCAGCATGTTAGAAATTTATAAGATTATACATGGCATGAAGCAAGTGGATAAAGAAAGGTCCTCCCTCCCTCCCTCCGCCCATAACACTAGAATTGAGGGGCATCCAATAAAATTGAATATTGGAAGATTGGGGACAGATAAAAGGATCTACTTCTTCATGCAATGCAGGGGCGTCATCTAGGAGGGCTGAGGGGCTGAGGGCCCCCAAAAAATTCAAGGAAGGGGCTGGACCTCCTCAATATTCTGCAGCCAGTGGCGGGTCTTTGTGGGCCTCCCCGCAGCTGTGGTGGGTCCCATCAGGCCCCACTGGTTCTACCCACAGCTGTAGTGGGTCTTGTTGGGCCTTACCACAGCTGCAACGGGCCTCACCAGGCCTACCCACAGCTGTGGCAGACCTTATGGCCTCCTCCCGCCACATGTGTACATCATGCACATGACATCACACATCTGTCATGGGCATGACATCACACACATGTGCCAGGCACTCACAAAGTTAGGCAGAACCCAGTGCCTGTGATGTAATGCATAGTCAAACTATGGAGCTTGCTCCACTGGAAGGCAGCGTTGGCCACCAACTTAGTAAAGGTAAAGGGACCCCTGACCATTAGGTCCAGTCGTGGCTGACTCTGGGGTTGTGGCGCTCATCTCGCTTTATTAGCCGAGGAGCCGGTGTACAGCTTCCGGGTCATGTGGCCAGCATGACTAAGACGCTTCTGCTGAACCAGAGCAGCACACGGAAACGCTGTTTACCTTTCCGCCGGAGCGGTACCTCTTTATCTACTTGCACTTGGACGTGCTTTCGAACTGCTAGGTTGGCAGGAGCAGGGACCGAGCAACGGGAGCTCACCCCATCATGGGGATTCGAACCGCCGACCTTCTGATTGGCAAGTCCTAGGCTCTGTGGTTCAACCCACAGCACCACCCATGTCCCTGGCCACCAACTTAGATGGCTTTAAAAGAGCCATGGATGAAATCATGGAGAAGAGGGCTGTTGATGGCTATTAGTCATGGTGGCTCTGCTCTGTCTCCATGACTGGAGGCAGTATTGCTTCCAAATACCAGTTACTGGAAACCACAGGAGTGGCGAGTGGTCTTGTGCTTCGATCCTGCTTGTTGGTTTCCCACCGGCATCTGGCTGGCCATTGTGAGAGCAGGGATTTGGACTAGATGGGCCATAAGCCTGGTCCAGTCTGATCTTATGTTCTTATGACCTTATTCTAGTGGAGGCTGGTCTGCTAGGGTGAAAGGGTCATTGCCCCACCAACCACTATCTCCTGTCAGGAGGGGAGAAGCAGATGCATTGTCTCTGCTCTTCCAACTGTCTATTTAATAAGAGTGCAAATGATCTCATATATTTCTTTTCTATGATAGCTGCACTAAAGAGTGTCCCTAGAAGGAAATAACTCATCTCAGTATTTATTTCATGTATTCCCATGAAGTTCCATTCAATTATGCCGCATCATATTAAGAGCATCTTGCTGATAAGGTAAAGGACCCCTGGACGATTTAGTCCAGTCAAAGGCAACTACGGGGTGTGGCGCTCATCTCATTTCAGGTCAAGCGAGCCGGTGTTTGTCCACAGACAGCTTTCCAGGTCATGTGGCCAGCATGGCTAAACTTCTTCTGGCACAATGCAACACCATGATGGAAACCAGAGTGCATGGAAATGCCGTTTACCTTCCTGCCACAGTGGTACCTATTTATCTACTTGGACTGGTGTCCTTTCAAGCTGCTAGGTTGGCAGAAGCTGGGACAGAGCAATGGGAGTTCACCCCATTGCATGGAATCAACCGACCTTCCAACTGGCAAGCCCAAGAGGCTCAGTGGTTTATACCACAGCGCCATGCACATCCCTTGCTTATATGACCAATTTATTGGCAACCTCTTGTGGGCATGAAGCTAGGGTTGGATATCTGGTGTATTGCTTCTCCAGCTCCTCATTTGAAAGCAGGTGGATTCAGGGCTGCTCAATATAGACTTAGTGTGAGCTCTTTTGTGAAGGGCAAAATCATAATGTATCCTAGCAGAGCTGGCTAGACCAGGAAAGAAGTCTGGATGCCTTGAGAGAGGTGAGTTTTATCACTTCCCATTTTGACCTGTACTGATCAGCTCCCAGCCTGCCTCATCTACCTGGCTGATATAGAAACAATAAGAGGGTACCCAGCTATGGTTGTCATAGAATTCTATGTTGGAAGGGACTCTGAGTTGAAAGAGTCCCTGTAGGTAACCAAGTCGGACCGCCTGCCATGAAGGAATATCAACTAAAGCACCCATGGCAGATGTCCATCCAAGCTCTGCTTAAAAACCGCCAGTGAAGAGAGATAATGATGATGATGATGATAATAATAATAATAATAATAATAATAATATATTTATACCTCTGCCCACTCTGGGCAGCTTCCAACAAAATATTAAAATACAATAGTCTGTTAAACATTAAAAGCTTCCCTAAACAGGGCTTAGGGATGCGGGTGGCACTGTGGGTAAAACCTCAGTGCCTAGGACTTGTCGATCGTATGGTCGGCGGTTCGAATCCCCGCGGCGGGGTGAGCTCCCGTCGTTCGGTCCCAGCTCCTGCCCACCTAGCAGTTCGAAAGCACTCTTAAGTGCAAGTAGATAAATAGGTACCGCTTTATAGCGGGAAGGTAAACGGCGTTTCCGTGTGCTGCGCTGGTGCTGGCTCGCCAGAGCAGCTTCGTCACGCTGACCACGTGACCCGGAAGTGTCTCCGGACAGCGCTGGCCCCCGGCCTCTTAAGTGAGATGGGCGCACAACCCTAGAGTCGGACACGACTGGCCCGTACGGGCAGGGGTACCTTTACCTTTACCTTTAAACAGGGCTGCCTTCAGATGCCTTCTAAAAGTCAGATAGTTGTTTGTTTCCTTGACATCTGATGTGAGGGCGTTCCACAGGGCGGGTGCCACTACCGAGAAGGCCCTCTGCCTGGTTCCCTGTAACTTGGCTTCTCACAGCGAGGGAACCGCCAGAAGGCCCTTGGTGCTGGACCTCAGTGTCCGGGCTGAACGGTGGGGGTGGAGAGAAAGAGAATCCACCACCTTATCAGGGAGTCTGTTCCACTGCTGAACAGCTTATGCTGCCATGTCCAAGTACATTAAGGGTGGGCTATTAACCTCCTCTCTATAGTCATTCATTCATAATCATATTCCTCTGCTGCTTTTCCACATAAGGAATCATTCCCAAAGTGGCTTACAACAAAGAAAAGAGGAATACAACTCAAGATCAATCATCACAAGAACAATTTTTGAAATAGCGCAATAAAACAATGTGAACGCAAATTAATCAACATACAAAAACATTTCAGTTACACACAGACACACAAATACATCCATATATGACAAAATATTGCTCTAAAAAGACATGCTAATATGCTTAGATTAAGAATGTAAATGCATCAAAACAATAAATTATCAATGGCATATGTATGTATATAGAGAAAATAAAAACAATCAGAATACTATGATAAGGGTAAAATTGATTCTAGAGAAGACGAGTAGCGGTGGAGGGAAGTTAAACAGGGTGGTGAGTTTATTTTATTTTGTTTATGTTTTTTCTTTTTCTTTTTTGGATATTGTATAATGATTTAATGTTTCTTTTCTGTTATGTATTATTTCTCTCTTTTTTATTAAATTGTATGACGGAAATCTAAATAAAAATACAAATAAATAAATAAATACATCCATACCATCCAACAGCAAAAAAACAAGAGAGACCTTTGTCCTAGAAACTCCCCTTCCAGGGTGAGATGAGATGAGGATATCAGAAAGGAGGCCTTCTCAGTGGTGGCTCCCCAGTTGTTAAACACTCTAGCCAGAGAAGTTTGCACAAGACCTGCCATTGCCTTTTTGAAATCAGTCAAAGACCTTTCCTCCCTCCTGAATTTTTAGAGGAAATTTTACTGGCTGCTTTATGCTGCTTTTATGATGTTGTAGCTTTGAGCTTTTTTTGCATTTTGTCTTACACTTTGCATAGGCCTCCTTGGGAATATAACATAAGGGTGCTATAAATATGTGTGTAATGAATTAATTAATTATAAAGGATGCTTTGGGTACTGGGGCTGTGACTTGGGTAATGAGCCACAGATCATATTGTCACACTTACTTTCTGTAGAAGAGGGAGGCTCCCCCATTTCATGTTCCTGAAATATCCTCATCATCTGAAGCTTGAGTTTCAAGAAGGCCATGAGAACAGAAACCTTCTCTTTTCATATGAGGAGGGGTCAAGCAATTCACCAGTCATCTCCCCATAGCTGCTCCCTCAAAAAAGACTGCCAATCAATTGGCCATATAAGCAAGGTGCCCTTCAAAGGATGCAGCATAATTTATCAGAACTTTGTGGAGATACTGGAAACAAATACTGAGCAAGGGGGGGTGTGTTTCCTACTGGGAATGCTTCTTAGTGCAGCCATCATAGAAGACAAAGGCAGAATCAAGAAACACACAGTGCCTGTCTGAGCAGAAGGCAGAAGCTTTATCTAGCAGACTTGGCGATGAGCTCTGGGAATTTGCAGGTATTCAATTAGTCACCAGGGGGAGCCCCTATTATTCCATAAATGCAGCAGAGCTATGCTGAGAATTAAAAAGGGGAATTGATCGTCCATCGCGGGACAAGGGAGTTCAAGAAACCTGTTGTGCGTGGAGCTGAGAAAGAGACACGGTGTAATCCAGGATTGCAGCAATTTTCTAGAGAGCAAAGCAAGGGTTGGTATTATCGTTCAAGGAACAGGCAACTACCATTCTCAGCATCACCGTCCTCAGCCTTGGCCCTCTTCTGCATGCAGGGCCATGGCTGCATATGCAAAGCCGCATCTCTCCTTATGCACACAGCTCACGTCAAAAGCACGGACCAGCAAAAAGAAACTACATCCAAAAATGAGCTGCTGGACGTGTGCAAGGAAGCCTGATTTGCGCACAGCTAATCGTGTGCACAGATTGCAAGAGGGACTTGTGTATCTGCATGTAAAACTGCACAAGCAATTGTCCCCGCATTCCTTGAGCTGTAGTGCAAACGTAAAACATCTGAAGAAAGCCCCAGTTTCAATCCCTGGTATTTCCAAGTAGGTTTGGAAAAGATGCCTATGTGAGATCTTAGAGCAGAGCTGCCAGTCAGTGTAAACAATACCAGCTAGATGGACCGACGGTCTGGGTCAGTGTAAGGCATGTTACAAGGAACTATTTTTCAGTGGTAGAGCAGCTGCTTTGACTGCAGAAAACCCCAGGTTCAATCCCTGACAGCTCCAAGTAGGACTGGGACAGGTGCTTGGTTGACACCTTGGAGAGGAGCTGTCAGTCAGTGTATGCAATACTGAGATAAATGGACCAATGGTCTGACTCAGTCTGATGCAGCTTCGTCTCCTCCCTTCTCCACTTTTCCTAAAATGAGGATTACTATTTGTGCATGTGGTTTGGGACCATCAGGAAGATGGCAAGAGTGGAGAGGAGATGGAGAAGAAGAGTTTGGATTTGATATCCCACTTTATCACTACCCGAAGGAGTCTCAAAGTGGCTAACAATCTCCTTTCCTTTCCTCCCCCACAACAAACACTCTGTGAGGTGAGTAAGGCTGAGAGAAGTGTGACTAGCCCAAGGTCACCCAGCAGCTGCATGTGGAGGAGCAGGGAATCGAACCCGGTTCACCAGATTACAAGTCCACTGCTCTTAACCACTACACCACACTGGAAAGGAATGGGTTAATGGGACAGCGGGAATCTGGCTGCCTAAGTTATTTGAGCTGTGCAGTAACAACAACAAGCAGTGATAGCCAACCACCACTGTCACTGCTGCCTCCTCCTCTCATTCTTTTTAATCTCCTCCTCCTTCTCCTATGTGTGGTGAGGGAAAGTAGAGATGTAGGTGGAAGATGGGATTCTGGACTTCCCATAAACATTTGGTTGGTCACCATGAAGAATAGGATGCTAAACTAAATGGGCGATTGATCTGATGAGATTTGGTGAAGTCCCTTTATGGAGTTCATAAAGGAGAAGGTAGAGGGACCCCTAACCGTTAAGTCCAGTCGCGGACGACTCTGGGGTTGTGGTGCTCATCTCGCTTTAATGGCCAAGGGAGCCGGCATTTGTCCACAGACAGCTTCTGGGTCATGTGGCCAGCATGACTAAACCGCTTCTGGTAAACCAGAGCAACACATGGAAAGACCGTTTACCTTTCCGCCGGAGTGGTACCTATTTATCTACTTGCACTGGGACATGCTTTTGAACTGCTAGGTTGGCAGGACCTGGGACCGAGAAACGGGAGCTCACCCCATCATGGGGATTCGAACCGCCGACCTTCTGATCGGCAAGCCCTAGGCTCTGCGGCTTAGACCACAGAGCCACCCACGTCCCTTTTATGGAGTTCATATTCAGTAGCAAAAATACGTTTTGGATTATCATTCCCATCTTCACCGTCATCCATGAAGTTGTTCAACCACTTAGTTTTCAGATTTTGCTAGCAGGTTTGTTTTATTTTATTTATACCATTTTTATGCTGCCCTTCATCTTTTCATATTTCAGGAAAGTAGATACCCTTTGTAACTCTGGATGGCTTTTCAGCTCCTTCTTCGTAACATGCGCAAAAGGGAGGAAAGGATATATATCTCATCCCTGTCATATAATAACAATATCAGGCACTCCGAGTTGCTTTCAGATTATCCAGGGTGGCACTTAACTTGAGTCACTTTCTTTATGCACTGCTTTTCTCCATTTATCTTTGAGAAGGTAAAATAATCTCCTTTCTCTTTCTGTTACCAAAGACACTTTTTGTATGGAGGCAGAGGCTAATCCTTCCCAAGAAGCCAGCTTTCCAAACGCTATAGCTTTTCCTTGTAAAGTGTTGGGTTTGAGCGTCTTGATCATTTTGGCTGCCCTTCTCTGTACTTTCCCCAGCTCTATTATATCCATTTAGGGATGGCGTAGCCAAAACTGTACACCAAGGATGGAGAACTTGTGCTCATCCAGAGGTTATTGGAATACAGCTCCCGTCAGCCCCAGTCAACAGGAACAATGGTTAGAGATGTGGGGAGTTGTAGTCCAATAGCAGTCAGGAGGACCACAGGTTCCCCAGCCCAGCTGTACACAGTTGAAGTTCACATTGAAGTTGAAGTTCACCATGACCTAAAGTTCTCTCTCTTCATTAAGGGCTTATACACACCTCCCTTAACCCTGACTCTTTCTAATGGGAAAAGCCATGGTTTAGCATTGAATCGAAACAAACAGTAACCCGGTTTTCTTCAGATTGCTGTTTGTTCCAATTTAGCACTAAAGAGCAGGTTTTCTGGGGAAAAGTAGTGAGGTAAAGGGAAAATCACTCAGACCCATGTCTAGAAAGAATGGGGCAAGTGGTAAAAATGCTCAGACCCTTGATTTCTATACAAGTGGAAGTGTGGGTGAGTCCCTGCCAGTTCAGATGTCGTCTGGGTTTGTCTGAAGATGGGATTCTTTTGCTTCCATTTGCAATACTTCATGCTTGTTTACATGGAACCTCCATTGCTATTCTATTGTTGCTGTTGTTTCCTTATGCATGCTTTCTCTGAGCAATGTGGGGAAGATCAGGGAGTTAGCAGGAGCAGGGAGGGTACATAATTACGCTGTGGTGGGTCTTGCATGTGCACCACCCCTTCACAGTTTGACACTCACGTATCTAGTTTGCCACCTGAACACATAGAATCATACAACCATAGAGCTGGAAAGTACTCCAAATGTTATGTAGTCCATCCCCTACAATCTAAGATACATTCTTGTTCCATGACCACTAGGTTCACCCAGGAACCTTTGACAAAGGGCTTCATGCAACTCTATTTTGGAGTTTAAGTATAAAGGGAATCATCCAACAATGTCAATGGATACAGCTTGGGCAATGGAATCTGAACTCCTTTTACCCCATCATGCCCCCAATATTCCCAAGAGGGTTATCCTAACAACCCATTGTGTCTATGACCACTATGTGCATGCTTGTTGATACTGAGAATGGATTTCCCTTTGCAGAAGCAATGCTGATCCTTTCTCAGCAACTCCAGGGATCATTTGTAGACGTCTCTCTTTCTCTCTTGTACAGGGCATTTCCAGTGCTGAGTGGCTCTATATTACCATCATCATTCCACCTTAACTCCGATCCAAAAAGTCAGCCCATACAGATTATTAGGTAGACCACTGAACTGTCATGACACGACAATCAATTTTTTTTTGGATGAGGAGGTCATTGAAGCCAGCCACTGAGAATTGGATTTATCTCCTTGGCAACCTGGGCTTGGGGGTGAATCATCTGGAGATATTGAGTTGCTTTCCATGGCATTGCTCTCAGATGACGTGTATACCCATCAGCCTGCAATCGCAGATCAATTTCCATATTGACATGTAATAGGACTGTTTTGAACATCTGCTGTACTGCTAGGAATTCACACCGCGACCCTGCACTTGTAATTCCACCTGAGTTCAGCTTATTTCCAGGTAGCGATAGATGAATCTGTCAATTTTTATTTATCTCTATCTTCCATCTTTTGAATTCCCTGGGTATAGGGTTTCAGCCAAGCTGGGCTCTGCATGTGTGGGTTGGATTGGAAAAGGTAGGGGCAATCCTCTTCTTGCTTGTGCCACCTCAGCCAGCCTCCCATTGCCCATTGCCCCCCCTCTGCTCAGCAAATGTGATGGTGTCTCCTCAATGAAGTCTGGTGGAAATCTGTAAAACAAGGTGTTCTGGGTGCAGGGAAGATTCAGGGTTGAGGCAGCCCTTTCTACTTCCTGCCACAGATGCAGCAATGAATCCACCATTCTTCAGATCCACAGCAGTGGGGAGTTAATGTTCCTCTGCCACCCATTGTTCCTGAGACACGTCTATTGATTTGCTATGATATCTTTTTAACTGGAGCTCAAAAATAGAGATATGAGGTATCCTTTTTGGGCATTCTTGAGAACTTTGCAAGATGCGTCGGAAAAGCTGGATGGGCTTGAGTCAGACGGAGATGAATTTTTCATCACAAGTGGAAGACAAAAAAAAAAACTAAGTGAGAAAGCTTAGAAAAAATAACAGCTTCTGAAACCGACAAATAATATATATTTTAAACTATAATTTGTGAAGCCCACAGCCAAGGTGGGAAGAAAGGTGATAGAGCGAGATGACTCATTTTGGACAGAGAAACTGCAGACTGCAGGGGATTTAATTGCCTTTCAATTAAAGGGTGGAAGCAGAGATCGGGTGATATATTCTCTTGAGCAAGAAGACATGGCTACCATAGTGATTCAAACCCAGCATTTTTTAAAGGCCTTCTGAAATACTTTGATCATTTCTGCATGTCTGATAGGCCACAGGCATATGAAAATAGCGACATCCTCAAAGGATGTTAATGACTGCATGATTACCTGGAAGTCTGACATGAATTTTATCGCATGAATATATATCACAGATGGAAGTGGGCACCTTCTCATGTGCTGGTATTAGGAACTGGAAAGAATTTTGATTCAGTTTGCATTTTAAGGTGAACCTACCTGCTTTGAGACACTATTTGCAAATGTTTCAGTGCAGTTCTTCTGAAAAGTAATGCACATGCATTACTGAAAAAAATGCACATGCTAGGGTTAAGTGTACACGAAAATGCATATATTAGTGGAAAAAACATACACAAAGGAATTATATTAGGGGAATTTTCTTTGCAAAAATAAAATAAAAAGTAGATTAAAGTTGCACTGGGAGAAATTTGTCATAAAAATGCTAGTGGATTTTCATGACAACTTTTTATTTCTTTTCTTTAAAAATTGCAAACTGTTGTGGAATTGTGGAGAACTGAGCTTAGGGGTGGGAAAAAAAGAGAAATGGTGAGATACTGACAGATTCATGCATTCCTGATTGGTCAGACCGTACTCCGGCACTTGGGATGATGGTGTGTTCATGTGCACACAGATGCAAACCCTTCCACTGTCACATATTACTGCAAGCTCTTTCCCTTCTGCAGTATATTCCTATGTAGTAATAGCATGCTCATGATTTGAATGTGGAGCCTTACGCTGTCAAAATGGCACCTTGTACAGACAGAAGGAAGTTATCAGTGGCTTTCAGAGGACCTTCCAAGTTTGGAGAAGCAGAAAATATGAAGGGGAGAAGAGACCCCTCAAACAGAATGATGATGATATACCCTCCAACATTTCTTTGATGAAAATAGGGGTGTCCTATTCCGTAACAGTTATACCCTGCCCATCTGACTGAGTCACCCCAGCTGCTCTGGGTGGCTTCCAGCATAATAAAACATAAAACT